AGTATCCTCTTTTTAATGCAACAAGCCGTTTTGAAAAATCACATTCAGTTCTTGAGAAATAAATTTTTGAAATGATCGAACATTTTTTCGAATTTTGCTATTTTCGCCGATTAAGTTTTAAAAATTCGTATAAAATTTCGTTCTTGGAATACGAGTATGAAAATTTCCGAAAGTGTTAATAAAAATGTCGTCTTTCCAATGAACCAACACATTTTGAAAAATAACTTTTAGTTTTNGCACACTTCTTTAAAATAGCATTGACTAGTGACTGAACGAAGGGTTTTTGTTTTTTTCGGTTACAACTAATTTTACAAAACTATACGTAGTGTAAATTGTACCAAAAATTGCACTTTATTGCGAACAACTCTGCCAAAAATTAAGTTTTCAATTTTTTTTTAAATCCTTCGTTCAGTCACGAGCTATACGTATCTACTTACAGAAAAAAAAATCTTTTTTAATTTCGGATAAACGGTTTTTGAATTATCGTGACCACCGCGCGGACACTTTTTTTTTAAAGGGTCTCTGGAAACCAGGTCACACACGGGCTGAACTTTACAAATTTCTTAATGATTTTTTTTTTAAATGTAGTTTAATGTTGCTATTTTATATACGTAAAAGTTTGAATATAATAATTTATTCATTATATCAAAAAAATAATAAAGAAAATATGCTTTTTTTTAACCTTCCAAACCCATGTAACACCTTAAATATCTTGTTTATGTTTAGTTAGAGGTCTGTGAGTCGGTTGAAGCAACGGTCTAATTGGTAAGTCAGGGGAATGATATAGTGGTGTTTATTAAGATGTTAAATAACTTTTTTATTGTATTTATTTTGATATTGTTATTATCTACATGCAAGGCTAGCATTTTTCGTAAATATAACATTTTTATTCTATGTAGAAACGTTGTATTTATTACATAGTTGTAACTAGTGGTAACTATTCGGTATCAGGCCTACCCGGCCATTTTTTAAAATCCGGCCGGATACCGGATAGTTACCTAATATCCGCCTACTAGTACTCAAAATTCACAGGAATTAGTATCTCTTTTAGGTGTTGGACACTGCAGATAATAATCAAGTTCAACCCCAATAAGACCTTTTTCATTGAATACAACTTTATTTAGCATTAGCAACCTCATTGTAACAATCCCGATACGATATATAAAATCGCTTGTTGCAGTTTCGTCTAGTTTTCTTCTCTTCGCTTGTAATTCATCATCACATTCATTACTAACAGAACTGTCGCTGTTATTACTTTCGATTATTAATTAAAGTATACTCTTTATAATGCAAAAAGCCGTTTGGAAAAATCAGTTTTAGTTTTTGAGAAAACAATATTTGAAGCTTTGATAAAATTTTCGATGTTGCAATTTTCATCGATAATTTTCAAAATTCGCTATAAAATTCATTTCTTGAAGAATCCTTGTGGAAATATCACCAATTATTAATTAAAGTATCCTCTTTTTAATGCAAAAAGCCGTTTTGAAAAATCAC